CCCACCCCCCGGTCACCAATCTGCTAAGTCCCCCCCCCCTTCGTAAATGCCATTTTCAGCATGAAACTGGTACACACACAGAACAAGAAAAGAATGAACAAAGCACACACTTTCTCTTGGAGTAGTCGTCATGGAACTTCGGCAGTTCGATTTCTGGCTCTCGTTCGAGCTCTTCTTCAGCTTCCGCCACTGATTTGATCGTAGCCTCAATTGTGCCGACCAATGCACGCTGCGGATGTTCATAGGTGTCGAGAATACGAAGACGTTGAGCCTGAAAGCAAACGTCACTTTAAATTGGATAAGGTCAAATGGATTTAGACAAGGAGATGCAGAAAATAGAAACTACGATTCAGAGCTAGGGCAAAGAAACTGATTCAGTTTTCGCACAGAGCATCACTATTCTTCCATTTCAATCAAATCCGAGAAAAGGCTGATGTGTTGTGCACTTTCAGCACCATTCCAGTGCTCTCGTACAACGAGCAGGTCCGCACAAAATTCTCAATACACTGGAGTGCGAGTTTGTGTCAAGAGGACCCAGCTGCGGCGAAGTGGCGTGACGTCGCGTGCGTGGCATTTACAGCATAAACTATAGCGTATATCAGAGGGCGAAAAGGGGCGTTTCCAAGCGCGCACAGCGACGGCAGCGTATTCTCGCTCCGAATGCTTCTCGAGGAAAGTCACAAAGCTCGCATCTGTCATCTAAAGAAATGCTAGCCGTTGTTAACATTTATCAGTTTCCCTGTTCAAGTGCGCTTTGCACTCCTCCGTTACTCAACAGTTTTTGGAAGGAAATTGGAGGGATTCCTAAAAAAACTGACAGAAGAGAAAGTTAGGGAGCTTTGTGAAGATGATAAGCAGGAAGGGGAACGGAGCTCGCACCAGAGGCAGGAATTTGAAGAGGAAGTCGTAGTTTGTAAAAACTTCCCTCAACGGCAGGACAGGCCTGATCTGCACACTACCAAGCGTAAAATCGGTCACCTTGAATTGGAGTTGGACTTCGATGAAAAGAGATAGGTTATACTGTAGATTATAAGTGACTTTCGCAAAACTAAAGCAGCCTATCCTTCAAAAGCAAGTGAAACGCGGCGGAATGCCAGACGCGCTTTTGCATCGCTTCAGGCGACATTTACTGCCGCACAGATTGCCTAGAAGTTACAAGCGCATCTGGGTTATGAATGCCTTTTAAAAGAGGAGCCCTGATCTGAGCGCTAACTCTGAAATTCCCCGCAAACAGGGGCGTCACCCTGAAGGGTTATGAATTTTTAACTGAACAATGGCGGACCGGGAAATCACCTGACCGGCAACCAGAGGATGCCGCTCATGGCGACAATAGCGATTTTCGCGTTACCATAGCTGCATTAGTAATAATTAACCAGGTCCCAGGTCCTAGCCAGGGTAATTTCGGTGCAGCCTGTGCAGGTCAATCTTCGCGCTAATTGAGGGTTCTGTCTTGAAACGGATGTAAAGGTCATTTCTGTTCGCACAGTCACACCAGTGTAAACACTTGCTCTGCACAACAGGTAGGACATATCGAAAAGAGGAAAACGGTGGGAGCTAAGATGACGGTTGGAACCTGCAAAGGTCAGATCCGCCAATCATCTTCACTGATAGACCAAAGAATTCAAATCATCGTTTCGCCAATGAAATTCACTCCTTGTGTGAAATAAAGGTCTGAATGTCATAGGCACGGAAATCTCTATGCACTTCTGTCTTCGCCAAAGGGATTACGCTAGCTGCTCGCGTTGTCCTTCCAGATTGGCTTAGACGCTTCTGACGAAAATAGAGGATCACCAAAGGTCACTTGTAGTCCAATGCACTTTTCTAGCGACATGAGCTGCTAATTTTTGAAGTAGCATGTGGCCGATCTCTATGGCGCGATAAGCCCTAGGTTACGGTAGCAATCCACTTCAAGTCGGTTCTGTTGCTTCTCACTTAGGGGGCTATTTCTAGCGCTAATCTCCTTTTCTTCATAACCACTTTTGGTTCATACTGCCCTGGTTCGTATAAAGTGGATAACTATTGATTTTCTTTCCGTTCCCTTGTTGTTTCCCCAGGATGGAAATGGACACTGGGCATGTCGTGGACGATTATGTAGAGAGCTGGAACAAAATCAGACTCGGACAATGTGGAGAACAGAGAGTGAGCAGAAAGGTTGTTGAAGGGACACTTCTAGAGGAACAAGAACCTCTCCGAGAAGTCAGAAGTCTGCAGGGTGCTCTTACTAGTGTTGGAGATGGTCTTCAAATAGTCGACAGTGCACTACAAAGCTGCTGTAC